GGGCATGGAAAAAGGATCCGGTTACATTATTGTGAAATTGTATCAGAGAATGTGATAAAGAGTTGAAGCAGCTCTCCAGAGTCTGCTCGGTAACTCTCAGAGCTTAGGAAAAGATCTGAAATGTTACGTATTAATGCATTAAAGTGCCTATTAGGGTTGGGCAGTATCCAAATTTTCATACCGTGATACCGTCTCAGGATTTTACCAGGGTATACGGTATTACTGTATTACCAAATGTCAGCGTTTACGTGCGTAACCTCGCAAAACCACAGCCACGCGTCAAAGCGAGAGCGACTCCACCGGCAGCTGCAGCAGGACGAACACGCGCAGCACTGACTCTGTGTTTGTGGAAAAGACAATCAAACTCGACTGGGCACGTTTACTCGCTTGTATCAGGACCACAGTGAAACTAACAGCTGAACACGCTTGTATTTACCTTCTGTACAGGCTCACCACGGCAAACGCCAGGATTTCAGAAGTTAATTTTAAAGCACATATTAACAGTCTTTCTGGACCTCACGGACCTTTCACACGACGCAGATCTGCCCCAGGAGCACGTTGTACTGATGGGAAACGCACAAATACAACCAAAGATTCATGCTCTCTGTGGATTTTGATGGGGACACGCGCCTATGTCAAAAATAGGATATATCCAATGTTTTGAAATTTACGTGCGCAGGATGTGCTGCTCCACACGCGCCGCCCTCATTCACTTTCCATGCAGCATTCAAAAAGTTACGCATCCAAAAGTTGCAGTTTTTACGCTCGTGTAGGGCAAAGTACACACATGCAGTGCACACGAACCGTCTCCAACGCGACACGCACAGAACAGACTCACCGTCAGCTGCAACATCCTCTGACGCAGAAAAAAAACATTACACTAAAAAAAACATTCCACTGAGTCGTGTCCTTTAGTCCGACAAAAGTTGAACCGCATCAGCAGCACAAGAAGCAGCTGTTTTTATCAGCGCTAACAGATCATGCAAATTAACCACACGGTTTTAAGTTTTGTTTCTGTAAAACGTAAACAAATGTGGGCTGAAGCCAAATTGCAGAAGTACTAGTATTTTTGGAGGAGACAAACTCTCTTGCAGCCGGACTTGTGTCATGTCTTGGTCTCTCTTATGAGCATCACGTGACAACGGAACAAAACTAATCGAACGTCACCTCCCCAAGAAAAATTATAGATACTATTAGATTTAAATTGTGATCGCGTTAAACTGAAAATACAACCACACATTAATTTGTGTTGCGCAATCAATTTTACATATCAGTAAATTATATTATTATATTAGGTCCTTATGAAACTGATACCGTTGCTATTTTTATAACATAATAACGTATTACCGCCCAACTTTAGTGCTGTTTTCTAGATTTATGTTATAATGTCATTTCCTCATCACAAACAGACCTGGAGTTGTGTTTTGCTGACTGATACAGATGTTTTTGTGTCCGATATCATACCGAGTTGAAGGTGCTGAAAGCCGATATAAAAGCCGATGTAAAAATTCACTGCAAATCTTCAATTAATTTTAAAACTTAGATCTGGCTTGACTGGATTTTAAATGTTTTTTGTTTAGGCCACATGTACTGTTATTCTGCCTCTTTACGTCATATTTAATTAAAGACAGTAGGTCGGCCTAATGGCATTTTCGCATGACATTCTAGACAGTAAATAAAGTATGTAAACTAACGCTATCAGAGGTAAATGCGTTCATCCTGCGGTAATTCATTATATGCGTAAATGCGGATCATTCACACCTCTGTTCACAGCTCATTTATATATCAATGTGTGTCCAGTAGCGTGTACAGACACTATAGTCACTTTACACTAGGCCAGTAGAAGAGAAAACAGGTTAAGTGTGGGAGCTACAGCAGCTAAGCTCTAAACGATGAAAAAGAACCAAAAGTAGCTTAAAAAACCGAACACATCTGCATGAACAGGCTCCTCTCAGATCACAAGTCTGCACTAATGTGTCCTTTTAATCATGACTCAAAACTACGGCTGTCGCAATAAAAGCAAAAATGAATCACCGCGGTACTAAGAGGCCCACCGTGGTGCATGTTGGGCCACCACCATCACCACACATGACCAACGTGACCCGAGCAGTGAGATCTGGAGAGACGGCAGCGGCACTTGTTCCAAATGTTACTTCTCCCCTTTGGGAGCATTTTGGCTTTCAGACAAATGGAAAGGGGGTATTTTAGATGAAGCAATCTGTAAAATCTGAATAAAAAAGATCCAAGTAAAACGAGGAAAAACATCAAATTTAACTGTCACCTAGCAAGCTACCATCCTGCTGTAGTGGCCAGGCCGCTGCCGCCTTCACGACCCACAGAGAGTCGTGCAGCAGCAGGTGCCAGCCGACAACTTGGAATCGCAGAAGCCTTTGCTCGAGTTTCCAAGTACAGTACTGGAAGTGACAAACATACATGTCTAACAAATGTTGTTACACAGTTTTTATTTATTTATTTATTTAATGGGGACAGTGCAGATTAATGAACATCTACAACACTGCAGTGTAAATATGACAGATTATAGCAAGAACGCTCATCTACCTCTGTAGTCCCTAGGCAGATAACACCACAACTTTAACAAATAAAACAATAACAAGTGAACGTTATACACTAAAAGTGTCCACAAGTCTGTTTTTCTTTTTGCCGCTGTTTCAAGTGGGATTTGAAGGTGGCAAGTGTTGGAGTCTCTCTTATTGATAGTGGCAGATTGTTCCAAAATGTGGTAACTGGTTGAGGAGACGGTGCCGTTTAACACTGTGGAGTTCAAGTCGCTGCTTCAGACAGAAGCAAGAGAAATTCCCTAACAAACCGTGATTTAATGCTGAAAATCTCATTCTACTGTCTAAATTAAGAGTGCTTTTTATCATCATTGTGGTATCAGAATCAGTAGAGTCTCAAGTTTGTTCCTTAGTGTCGAAATCAAGGAGGGACAGTGAACATACGCTAGAGACGAGAGACAGTGAGACAAATATTATGATTATGATAGTGATTGGCCAAGCACAGATTAGATAAGTGGATTAAAGTGTGTGTGTGGGTGTGTGCGTCTGTGTGTGTGTCTGTGTGTGTATGTGTGCGAGTTCAGATTTAATAGGCCAGGGCTGACCGCTGTTAAGAGCAACTGATCACAGTCCACTCAGCTCCCTGGGGAAAGCACTTATTCTAATGCAGTCAGACAAAACAACACAAAAAAAAACACAGGCTTTTACCGCGGACGACAGAGAGACTGAATATTCTCAAATATTCACGTTTTAACCCCAGGGCTGCAACGGCATCGAAATCATCATTTGAATGGATGCAATTAGGAAACAAAAGGTGCAAAGAGTGTTTACGTCATATTCTGCAAACCACAAAATGTCTTATTATGTTATTAATCCATATTTCAGTTTTCTCTCAAATGTAAAAGCTTCAGGACATGTTTAAAATATGCATTTTGGACAGAATCCAGCTATTAAATATAAATAAGAACGCACTGATCCATCTGTTCTCACACTAGTGTCGGTGTTATGGCTTTAAGTATCTGCCAAAACCAAATATCAACCAAAACCAGAGGCTGAAAATATGATTTATTTACTTTAAATACCAGTGGTGTGTGACAGCGGTTTTCAATAGGTCAAAGAGCCACTGGGAAGGCACGGCACAAGCGGACTAAACCAGGACTGATCCCAGGACTGAACTAGGAGGACTAAACCAGGACTGAACTAGGACTAAAACAGAAGTGAACCAGGACTAAGAGTCGGGACGGGCCCGGAGGTGCGCCCGTGTAGACCGTCGGGTGACCGTGGGCAAAAGGACCGACGCCAAGGGGCTAAGCGCAGCCGTTGCCCGATTGCGCTTTGTGGACACCCTGATCTGTGGGTCCACGGTGCTTCCTCTCTCCCTGGTCTCGTCCTGGTCTCGTCCTGGTCTCGTCCTGGTCTCGGTTTCGTCCTGGTCTCGTCCTGGTCTCGTCCTGGTCTCGTCCTGGTCTCGTCCTGGTCTCGTCCTGGTCTCGTGTCCTGGTCTCGTCCCTGGTTCCTGGTTTAGTCCTGGTCTAGTCCTGGTTTAGTCCTAGTCCTGGTCCTGGTTTAGTCCTGGTTTGTCCTGGTTTCCTGTCCTGGTTTCGTCCTGGTTTTCGGTTTCCCTGGTTTCCTGGTTTACCTGGTTTAATCCTGGTTTAGGCCTGTGTCCTACTGATGTTCAGTGATGTTAAAAGTTTCCTGCATGAAGTTGGAAATTATCTGCTGTTGCAAAAATCGTTTATGAGTGCATTTAAATCTAAGGGGAGGTTCACATTCACATAATCTGAAAATCCCATCCAAATGTGTTTTGTAAATAATGTAATGAGAGAGCAGCTTTGAAAAAAATACAAGTGTTTTGTCCCAGTATTGTTCAATAAATCATCTTTTCACACCAATTTATATTTCAAAATGGGATATCAATCAACACTGACGTCCAATATCGGTATTGTATCGGTGCAAATCTATCACAAATGCAATGTTTATCAGAAAAACTGTCAAAATCGTTCAGCCCGACTAGAAACCAATAATTTTTTTAAAATGTATAATAGAGTGGAAAACTAGGACTGCATGAATAACTATTTGTATTTAAAATTTTTGTTTAATATTTGTTTTTTTTTTTGTGCAGTAATATTTTGCGATTCCTGTTTTTAAAGACTGTCTTGGGTCCAGCTTCTATAAAATTGCAACTTCATACACAGAATTTCAATAGAATTTCATTTCTTTTACTGCTGAGAAAATTGTAAACACACTATTTGAACAACTGTGCAGCTTTCACAATAACAGTGGAAGTAAATTTAGATTTTTCTTAGAATTTTCTACATCCTTAAAAACAAGAAAAGGTGGTCCACTCCTTTATATAGTCCACGGTAGTAATTTTAAATGCAACGCAAGTAGAAAAAGGAGCTATAGTAAAGGCAAAAAAGGTCCACTGGTATTGTATTTTCAGTAAATGGATGCCCCCACCCTTGACCTTTGACCTCTCACCTGAGCTGTGACTGCAGTTTGGCTCCTTTGGTTACGAAGTCCTCCCACGTGGGGTAACTGGCCTGAAAAACACAGAAGGAACAAAACACAGACGTTATTATCACAGATCGGCTACGACACAGAAGGTCAGACTTTATCAGGGAAACAAGAATGAAGCTGTACAAATGTTTTATCAGTCAGGACGAAGGATAAAAAGAAGAGTTCAGCCAATATCCTATTTTGGTCCAGAAATTGGTGTAATAAGACTTTATACTCCATAATATTACACAAAATGGACTCTTGTGAGCTTTAAGTCTTGTTATAAAGTCGTTCCCTCCTCAAAAACAGACCTGGCCTTTTAATATTAGTCTGTCTACATCTCCAAAGCTCAGAATGATCAGTTCCACCTTGTGATGTCATGAAGCGGTAGTTTTCAAGTGAACAGCTCCTTTTTACCTTCTGTTCAGTAGAAATGAGCAATTTCAGGGCTGGAATGATCCAAATTATTCTAGTTAAGGTGGAATTTTACGGGTGAGAATGCGGGCGGGTAGTGATTACACACGGGCGGGTCAGTCCTGGGTTAGTCTTGGGTTAGTCCTGGGTTAATCCTGGGTTAGTCCTGGGTTAATCCTGGGTTAGTCCTGGGTTAATCCTGGGTTAGACCTGGTTTAGTCCTTGTTCAGTCTTCTGTTCAGTAAATAAAGCCTGTGAAGTGATTTTTGACAGTCGAGTCGCGTCTGTGAATTCGTGTTCCTACAGAAGAAAGTGTAAACGTTTCATTTCATGATTGTAATTCTTGATGTTATAACTTTTCAGTTTGTGTTCTGATGCATTAAATACACACAACATATTTTACGTAAGACTAAGAGTTTACGAATATTTATTTTATGCTCAACTACAGACAAATATGCACGGGTTTCTTAGCCAGGCTGGAGTCCACCTAGTGCCTGCGCGCAATTTCATTTCTCTCCAGTGACTAGGTCAGGAATCAGAATACAATAGATGATTCGCAAAAACCCCGGAAGTGTGAGTTCGGGCACCAGCCAATCAGCGAAGAGCCAGACATTCTGTGTTGTCAACGATTCCCAAGATCGAGGATTTAAAGCCGGAACAAAGAGAATGTTTGGTGAATTTTATCAAGGGGAAAGACGTTACTGTCCTTCTTTCTATGGGATTTGGGAAAAGCTTAATATACCAGCTATCCCCGTTAGCAGCGCATTAAATACCTCACGACCAAATAGAAGCAACTGGTTAAATGAAAAAAAAAATGACCCGCCCACTGTCGAACGAACGAATTCTAACACTGCGAGGTCACACGGTTTCTACGAAGTGAAACCAGCTGATGAATCAGGCTACGAATTTCAATCCTCTGCACACTAATATTTTTGAAAGCTTTCTTACTCCATACTATTGCCTGTTCAATCCTCATTTAGCGTCGTTGTTCATTGAGAGGCACATCGAAAAAATAAAGCGCTTCAGTTAGAATGATTTTAATTTGTGTGTGAATAATCGCAGGCGCAGGCGGGCAGCAGGTGGAATGTTAACGGGTCCGGGCAGGTGCGGGTTTAACTTTGACATAATCACGGGTTAACGGGCGGGTGCGGTGCTGGACTGCGCAGGTGCGGGTGGGTGCGAGTCTCCAAAAATGGACCCGTGCAGGACTCTGACTCCAGGTCCGTTTGTGACGAAGAAACACTAGATTGTTAATCAGAAAAGCGTGTACCGTATTTTCCGCACTATAGGGCGCACTTAAAAGCCTTTAATTTTATCAAAACACGACTGCGCGCCTTATAATCCAGAGCGCCTTATTTATGAATTTATTGGGGTGTCTTAGTACGACTTTAGTAAACTACAAAGCCGCACGGAGCAGATAGTGAAGTGTGCAGTGAAAAATACTTGTAGCCACATTTATTATTCCACGTGGACGAGGAATGGACTGGACGAATGGACTGAAAAAGTGAGTGTAATGTGTCATTTTTAGTTATAACTGAACAATTATGAGTTATTGTGAAAATTCTAACAATTTAGCGTCTCAGACAGTATTTTTTTTTTTAAGTGTTACAATTGAACAAAGTTGAGAGTTATTGTGAACGCGTTAAATAAAGTTTGACTGACTTATTTAACTGTTTAATGTTCTTAAAGTCCAGTGATATGCGAAAAAAGTAAAAAAAATAGACCATTCAATGACAGTGCACTCTTATAATCCAGAGCGCCATATAGTGTGGAAAATACGGTAATCTGGGCACGTTAAACTTATTTTTCCAAAGTTGTTTTGTTTTATAGATACCTAGCTTTTAAATGATAAATAAATTAAAGTTAAAAACGAATCGAGGACAAAAATTAATTAGTTTTTTAATATGATCATAACATGTGATGATTTTTAAAGGTGCTCAGTGTAACTTCTGACAGAGAGTTCGCCATCATGTCCCCACAATAATGAAACTGCTTTGGCTGAAATGTTCCACAGTACGGCATCGAATTGATCCGTTTCCATGGAGACAAGCACTAGCAGCCTCTAGGCCAAGCTACAGGTCAGATCTGTGGAGAGGCAACCCCACTCTCGGGAACAACAACGGAAGTTTCGAGGTAATAACAACACCAACAAATGAATAAATGCAACAAATGTAAGCAGAAAAAGTTACGTAGTGCGTCTTTACTGTAATAGTAAAAGGCAGTCGAGTTTGTTTCACGTAAACTTGGTGAGGTTTCTCTGCTCCCTCTGGATTCTGGAGGCAGAGTCAGGAATGTGACAGACACGAGCCAAAAAACCGACACGAGCTCCGGGGAAAACTGGACAAAACTCCTCTTTATTAACAGTGTTTGTTATAATCTAATACATTAAACTGGCCTTTCTCTGTGGTTATTCTTATTTAAAAACAGATTACGGTTGACAAAAAATGTGTGTACAAGAGTCGAGCAAAGATCTGAGGAATGAAAAATTAATGAAGTCCTTTATTACTTGGACAGTTAACGTTTCAACATTGATGTTTTACGTCTCGTCTGAAAAACACTTTTATTCTCTGGCTTTAAACAGTGTGAGTTGTGTGGTCCTCTGAGTCTTATTTATTTTTATGTTTGTGTTGTTTGTTTTTGTTCACCTTTTTATTATTTAGTAGGGATGTAACAATAACCAACCAACAAATACCGTGGACCGTCAAAATATATCGAACTACACGTCTTTTTATTGTTAAATTTATTGTCTTGGTGCAGCAATAACAAAAAAAAAAAGAGTGAACTACATATCCCATGATCCTTTGCTCCATTACAGCACAGACTACATGAAAACTAATACAAATACAAAAAAAAAATCATTTTTAATCATGTTTAAATCTCAAATCTTTGGTTTCAAGGCATTTTAAAAAAGAAAAAGTTGCATTTTCACAATTTTTGCAAGTGTCTACAAAATATTGCAATAAATATCGTACCGTGGGATGTATATCGTGAAACTACTGTATCGAGAGATTTGAATATTACATTCCTGTTATTTATTGGTCTTCTTGCTCTTATTTGATTTGACTACTTTTATTGCCTTAACAAGGACTATAAAGCTTTAATTTATATTTCTTTTATATTTATTTATCTGTATTGTGCAGCACTTTGGAAACGGTTTTGTTTATGAAATGTCTTACAGAAATAAAATAGATTGGATTGGGTATATGCCGATTAATCGATTAATCATGCCCATACCTAATCGATAATTGATCATTAAGAATTTAATCGATTACGTTAATTTTAATCGACAAACCGAATGTAGGTTGCTGTGTGTAGCGTAGCGTGACCAAACAGAGGTCCGTACATGTGTCTCTGCACTCAGAAGGAGCGAGCAAACACAAACAGTGGGTCAGTCTGCAGCGTCCCGAAGCACAAATGCGTATTTAACGATGATTTGTACAAGAAATTCCACGCTTTCCGTTGCGTTCGGGACAAGTGTGAGTCCATGTGCACAGTGTAAAAAGCAGGAACATATGTTTCAGTGTCCAGTATCAAAAAGCTTTACCAAGTGAGAGTCGCGCAATGTCGATGACGAGTCCCGACCTCCCTCCCCCCGTACGGTTTCCTGGTTTTGACAAACGCAAATATGGTCACACTAACCTGTATTCACCTGAGTCATGTCTTTTAATCTGACAGAAATTGAACCGCATCAGCGACACAAGAGCTGGAGTTTTATCTTCGCTGAGTTTATGCAAATTAGCGATGTGGTTTTAAGTTTCATTTCTGTGAGATTTGAACAAAACTGAATTAAACACATTATAATGTCAAACGGGCTGATGTGGCTCTAGAGTCGTTACGGTTTATATGTCGTAAAGTTGAATTTATTTATGCAGATTAGTAGTGCAGATAGTAATAATAATGATGATCATTTTAATATAAAAACGTTAATGATTAATCGATAATCGATCGTTAATTCTTCCAACGATCGATTAAGAAAATTTCATCGAATGCCCGTCCCTAATGCCGATATTTGCACTTTTTACGGTATCAGGTGTTGGCTTTAAATCTCCAGCACGTGCCGATATTTTATTTGGTCCAACCAGTATCCAAAATATGTATGAAAACCGGCCTCTGATATTGTAAATTCAGAGGAAAGTTTGTTGCAATATGGAAAGTGTACGATGCACAGTGAGGTTATCCTGACCTACAGAAGAGGTGTGAAGTATAATCCTGCTCTAATCCTGCTCAGATAATCCAGACTATACTCCACTGACCGTCCCACTGACCGTCCCCACTGACCGTCCCACTGACCGTCCCACTGACCGTCCCCTCACCTTCACTTAAACAATGGATTCATTAAGAGGTTTGACTATTACCCATAACTATAGATGTTCTATTGTGAGAATACCGGTTACTGAAATGACCAAATGCACCACTCACTCAACATTTGGTTTCGTGTAAATAGGCATCTCAGCGTTGGGCTGGACAATTAATCAAATTAATTATATTAATTCAGGTTTTAAATAATCGAGATTTTGAAAAAATGTGAAATTATGAAATTGGGGATTATGAAACAAGTTTCTTCCCGACTTTCTTAGTTGCAAAACAGTGAGTGCGTCTACATGCACATCAATAACCCGGTTATTATCCA